TCTTTTTAGGCTAATTTTCTTTAACTCCTTTAAAAATGTCCGCAAGTTTTGTCCGCAAATTTAATTTTTTCAAAAATAATTTTTTTTATTTTTCTTGAGAAAATAAATAATAGAGCTCTTAACTAATTTAATTAAATTTTAATTGAAGTATTTAATCTCTAAAAATATTTTTATTTTTTTTATTCTTAAAGAATTTTCATTCTTTAAAAATTTAATTTAGAAAATATTATTTAAATTATTTTTCTGGTATTAATTTAAGCAAATTTTTTAAAATTTAATTTAAGCATTTGACGTTGTTAAATTTTTTATTATTTTATTTTTATTAAAATAATTTTTCTTTAATTTTTCATTTGCGGGCAGATATTTGCGAACTATACCCAAAGTCTATTTAAATCCGCAAATAATGTCCGCAAAAATTATTTCCCTATTTTGACCTTTTTTAAATAAAATTTCCTTTAATTTCAAAAATTTTCTTTATTTTCTTTATACCCTTAAAAATATTTTTAAAAAACAATTAAATTATTCCTCTTTAAAATTACTACAAATCTGCACATTTTTAAATTTTACCTCATTGATTATGTAAATCCCCTATTAAAAAAGCTGCCCTCATTACCAAAACAAATAAATTATTTAACTATTTCGGCGCCGTCTTTTTGAACGCCCCCTAAATTTTTACTCGGCGCCATTTTTCTGCGCCGAAATAATTTCTTTTCCGGAAAAATATAATTTAAAAATAACTAAACATTTCGGCGCAGAATTGTCGGCGCGGCCTATTTCCGGGGCATTTTCCACGCCAAAAAATGTCCGCGCCGGAAAAACCTCAATATTTAATAAAAAGCTAATTTCCTTTATTTTTTACACATTTTTTGTTTAAAACCAACGGGAAAAATATTTTTTTATTATTATTATTTACCTGGGCAATGGAACGGAAACAATGGGGTACTTAATGAGGGTGAGATAAAAAAAAATTTTTTTTATTTTTTTCCTTTCGCGCAGGCAATCATTTTATATATTTTGTATTTATTTAAAAATCCTCTCTTATATTAATTATAATTCCCCAAAGAGAGAGACAATTGCTAGTTTTGAGGCACACAAGACTTGTGTATTTCCGGTAGTTTTAAAAATTAAAAAAAATTATTAGAAAAGGTAAATATACCCTCTCTCTTTTTTTACTATTTTTTGGCTTTATTTTTTTGTTTTAATTTTATTTTTTGTTTTATTTATTTTTTTGCCTTGTTTAACCATGAGAATTGACACAAAACTAATAATTTAAGACCTAATTTTATTTTAAAATTATTTAAAAATTATTTAAAAATTAATAGACGTTTCGGCGCAGGATTGTTTCGACGCAGTCTTTTAGACGTGTATTTATTGCCTGACGCCAAACCTTTGCGCCGGAATAATTTATTTTCCGGAAAAATAATTTAAAAATGATAAAACATTTCGGCGCCGAATCGTTGGCGCAGCTTATTTCTGGGGGATATTCGCTACGCCAAAATTTTTTTGCGCCGAGAAAATCAATTAAATTTATTTAATTTCTTTTAGCTTACACTCCGAAACCCTTCCCCTTTTTTTAACATCAAATTCAATTTTTAACTTTAACCTTCCCAGAAATATTCGACAAAAAACCGGAAGAATTTAAATAAAAATTTAATTAAATTAGCCTTAAAATAATTACAACTTTTTCCATTTTTAATTTTCTAATCTAATTTCTTTGTATTTTATAGCCTCAACTTTCTTCTATTTTTAGACGTTTAAATTAAATTTATATCTTTATTTTAAAAAAAATTATAAGCCTTTAAACACCTTTTGGTAGGGTTGAAGACGTTTTGGCGCCGTGCCGTTTTGGCGCCGATGTTCGTAACTGGCACTTAGGCGCACCCTAAATTCACGAAAATTTTCTCAAATTTCTCTAACATTGTTGACTACCTCCTCCAGAAATTTCAGAATTTTTCATAAAATATTTCTGAAGTTATAGTCGATAAACCTCGAAAAATAAGGCATTTTTCAAAAAATCAACATTTTTGGCCACATTTTTGGCTACAATTTCTGAAATTCTTGATCAAAAATTCTGAAATTTTTGAAGAACATAGATAAAGGCACGAGAGTTATTATGGAAAAATTTTAGCTTTTTTGATAAGCAACTCACTGTTTTATAAGCTCGCGCCAAAGCTTCCCGCGCCAAGACGTCCCAGTCCCCTTTTGGTAGGCGCCCCAACCTTTTTTTTTTCTCAGACTCAAGTGTCCCCTTTAAATTTTTTTAAATTTCTTACGCCTTTCTTGGTATTTCCCACAATTTCCGTTATTAATACAAATTTACCTTTTTGTTCCCCAAATTGGAATATTTTTTGCAAAAATTTATTGGCACGCAAATGCCCTTCAATAAAAATTTTCTTTTCTCTTCGATTTTTACAGTTTAATTATTAATTTTTATTTTTTTATTCTCACAAAAGGCTAAAAATAAAATAAAAATTAATTATTTTTCTTTTAATATTTATTTAATTATTTATTTGTTTATTTTTGCTGTTTTTGTTTTTGGGCCTTGAGGCATTAAAAAAATTTTTTTTTGAAAATTCTCTTTAAAAATTCTCTCAATTTTTGCTTATTTATTTTTTAACTAACACCTGTTTAAAAAATATTTTTTAAAAATTGTTGCCTTTTTTGTAAATATTTTTAATTTAATAGGGAGCAGTCAATATTTTTAGCTAAACCTCTTATAAGGTTTGGGCGCAACAACGCTTACGCAAATGCTTATAAATCAACCCAAAAAGCACATATGATGACGAAATTTCGTATTCATATACCTAATACTCTTAACTAATAATTCTGAAAATTTCAGAATTTTATTTAAAATATTTCACAAGTTATGGCCAAAAAGGACCAAAATTTGGCCAAAAATTCCGATTTTTTCTGGGTTTTTGGCCATAACTTTCGAAATATTTGAAATAAAATTCTGAAATTTTCAGAATTATTAGTCAAGAGTATTTACAATGTCTTTGCAAAATTTCAGAATTTTATCAGAAATATTTCAGAAGTTATGGCCAAAAAACCAGAATAAATCAGAATTTTTGGCCTAATTTTATTCCTTTTTGGCCATAACTTCTGAAATACTTTTGATAAAATTCTGAAATTTTCAGAATCATTAGTCAAGATTATCAGGTATATGAATACAAAATTTCAGAACTTTACCTTTCCTTTTGACTATTTTATAGGCATCCGCGCAGTCGTGGCTGCGCCTAAACCTCCCAGTACAACTAACTCATTTTTGTCTATAAATAACTTAAAAAATTTTTTTCTCGATTTTTCTTTAAAATTAAGCAACTATCAACCTCTATTTTTAATAAAATAAAATTATTTTTAAATTTTTCATTGTCTTTTTTTACCATTTTAAGTAATTACTTGCGTGTCTAATTTTTTCCTTTTCAAGTTTAATATTCTAATTAATTTAAATCTGATAAATTTTACTTCCTTTTTTAATTATAAAATTAAATTTTTGTATTTTTCTTCTTGTTAAATTTAATTTTTAAAAAATTTAAAAATTTTTTTAAACGAGAAAAAAATTTTTTAAAACGAAAAAAAATTTTTTTCATTCAAAGGGTCACTTGAGTCTGGACCTTATACCTTAAAAAATTCAAAATATATTTTTAAAATTTTTTCTTAATCACGCAAAGTTTTCTTTTTGCGTCACATGTGTAAATAGGTAGAAATATCAAAAAAAAGTTTCATTATTTTAATTAAAATTGAAATAAATTATTTATGTGCTAGCTGAATAGAGACTATAACTAAAAAGACTACAGAAAATTAAATTTAAAAATTTTTTTTGGGAGGTAGAAACTTCATTTTTGGTTTATTTTTAAGCCAAATGTCTGCTCTATTTTTGCTAAAAATTTTTAAAAATTTTCTCAAATTTTTCCATTTTAAAATTTTTTCATTTCCAATAAAAAGACTGGAACCTCCTCTGACTGTAAATGACCGTCCAACTTTTAGCCGTCATAACTTTTGACTGAGTAAACCTATTTGGCTAATTCTAGTACCATTCGATAGAGGATTAAATTAGCTACAAAACAAGCTTTAAATAAAAATTCTAGGCTTCTAGTCAAAAAAGTTATGACCCAAAAACTACTAACCTTTTTACGTATTTTTGTTAGTTTTCTGACCTCAACTTTTCTGTAAATCAACCAAAAATTCTGATTTAAATTTTATTTTATAGAGAATTTAATTCTCTATCGAATGGTATCAAATTAATCCAAAAATATTAATTTTTCGAAGAGTTATACTGCTTTAAACCTACCCGGTCATGTCCTTTCCACCCCTTATTTTTTATTCATTTTCCACCCAATTTCCTCAAAACTAATTTTAATTTCCTTTTTTTCTCTTAATTTTTTCTCAATTTTTTTCAACAGCTATACACCACAAAAACCACTCTATTAACTAATATCAATTTAAATTTACACATTCCATTCTTCAACAACAACAATTTTTATTTATTTAGGCATTAAATGCCTATTTTTCTATTAAAAACTAAAAAATATTTTTACCATTTCAACTAATTTCTTTATTATTTTCTGATTTTAAATAATTAAATATACAACAATTTTTATTGACTTCATTTTTAATTTAATTTAATAAGGTAAAATTTAATTAAATTTTAAAAAGAAAGGACATTTTTTAAGCATTTTATTTAATTTACGCCTTTAATTATTGCTTCAAAAAAATAAAAAAATATTTTTCTGTCCGTTTTTTAATCAAAATATTTTTTAAAAACATTTTTCTGGCCTAATTAAATAAATTACCTTGCGGAGGATTCGAACCTTGGACCCCCTGACGTAAAATCCAAACACTATCCCACTACACCAAAGATTAAATTTTTTGGAAATTTAGCATATTATACGGAATTCTGTGTTTTATGTGTTTTTCGATTTAAACTAATTTTTAGACTAATTTTTAAAAATTTTTAAATTCCAGATTTCCCAGTTTTATCACCAAAAAATACTACTAAAATGGGCGGTCTTTTGACCAGTTGCCAAAGCGAAGAAGTTCGCGAGCAACTTAGTAAAAACAAGGCTATAGAAAAACAATTGACAAGTGATAGACGTGCTGCTTCTTCTATTATCAAGTAAAAAGAAAAAAATTTTTAAATTAAAAAATGTATTTTTTAGACTTTTATTGTTGGGGGCAGGAGAGTGTGGAAAATCGACTGTGCTCAAACAAATGCAGTAAATTTTTACTTTAAAAATTAAAATATAATTAGTTAATTGGTAATTCTGATACATATTTTGATTTTATGCCGATTCGCTCAAAAAATTTTTTCGATAATTTGCGGACTAAACTTGCGGACAAAAATTTTTGTCCGCAAGTTTTTTGCGGACAAATTTAAAATTTTTCCAAAATAAACTTTTTAAATTAAAACAAATTTTTCCAATTTTTCTCAGAATTCTACACAGTAATGGCTTTACAGAAGAAGAAATTAATGAGCGCAAAGCTGTCGTTTATTCCAATACAGTGACTTCAATGGCTGCTATTTTAAAGGTAATGCTAGTTTTTGACTTATAACTTTTTAACCGATTAAGCTATAATGTTACTTTAAAATTTATCTGATAGAGGAGATTCTAGGCTATAAAATGGTCTAGAAATCAATTTTATAACCCAAGTTTCTATTAAGTTATGAATTTTTAAATTTGTTTTGTCAGCCTGTATTTTTAATTTTTTAGCATTTTTATGTTCATAATTCAATAAATATACTCATAATAATTTTTAAAATCCTAAAATCTTCTATCAAACACCCTAAAACATCTTTTCTGACAAATTAAAAATTATTTACCACCAACGGGATTCGAACCATGGACCCTCCTAAGGTGAAATCAAACACTTTCCCACTACACCAAAGAAAAAGATTTTTTCAATTTAATTTTAAAGGCAATGGATAACGTTCTACACATGCCAATGGATGACGCTTCTAAAGAAAGAGATAGAAATTTAATTTTTAGAGCTATAGAAAATGGAGAAGAGAATCTTCCTTTTACCGACCCAATTGCAAAGGCCTTACAAAATTTATGGGGAGATAAAGCTGTTAAAAAGGCTTATGAAATGCGCAGTGAATATCAGCTCAACGATTCTGCTAAATAGTTTGAGCTTTAAATATTTTTTAAATCCCTAATATTTTTCCAGTTTTCTCGACTCAGTCTCTCGTATCCACGAACCCGGCTACAGACCCACAGAACAAGATATACTCTACTCCAGGGTTGCTACTACAGGCGTTGTGGAAGTCAAATTTATTATTAAAGGCAATATGGAATTTAGAGTTTTTGATGTGGGTGGACAACGTTCGGAACGTAGAAAATGGATTCATTGTTTTGGTAAATATTTTTAAAACAATTTTTTAACAAATAAAAATGATTTGCCCGGTATGGGGTTCGAACCATGCACCCTCCAAGTGTAAAAACCAACTTTTTTGTAAAAAATAAAAATAATTTACTCTGCATGGGATTCGAACCATGGACACTTTGAACGTAAGAACCGAACATTTTCCCACTACACCAATGATTTTAATTAAAATATTTTTTAACATTTTCTCTGACAAAATAAAAATTACCCGGCATGGGACTCGAACCATGGACCCTCTAGACGTCAAAACCAAACACTTTCCCACTACACCAATGATATTTCTTATTTTTAAAGACAATGTTGAAGCAATTATTTTTATTACTGCAATAAGCGAATATGACCAAGTACTTTTTGAAGACGAAACTACGGTAAATTTTTAAAATTCTGATAAAAAAATTCTGATTTTTACAGAATCGAATGATTGAATCAATGCAATTATTTTCCTCAATTTGTAACAGTTCGTGGTTTTTAAATACTGCAATGATTCTGTTTTTAAACAAAAAGGATCTTTTTCTAGAGAAAATACAAAGAGTTAATATTACAACGTGTTTTCCGGATTATGAAGGTAGAAAATAAATTAATTGTGTTTTCTGGAAATTCTGATTTTGAAATTCTGAAAAAAATTCTGATTCTCAAAATATTTTAAAAATTTTCGGAATTTTAATCAGAATTTTTAAAAATCAGAATTTCAAAATCAGAATTTTTTTGGAAATCAGAATCTTAAATAAATTCTGATTTTTAAAAAATTCTGATTAAAGTTCTGAAAATTTTCAGAATTAAAAACTTCTGATTTAAGATTCTGAAAGAAATTCTGATTTCCAAAAATAAATTCTGATTTTGAAACTTTGAAATTTTCAGAATTTTTAAAAAATTCTGATTTTCTATTTAAATTCTGATTTTTTCTATTTAAATTTTTCAGGCTCCCAAAACTACGAAGAAGCAGTCAATTTTATTAAAATGAAATTTGCAGAATTAAATCAACATCCAGACAAGTCCGCAATAATTTTAAAAAATTTCAAAATAATTTTAAAATTTCAGAAAAACTATTTATATGCACGAAACATGTGCAACAGACACCAATCAAGTTCAACTTGTAATTAGTTCGGTAATTGACACAATAATTCAGAAAAATTTACAAAAGGCTGGGATGATGTAAAATACTTGACAATTTTTATTTTTGACCATTTTGTAATTTTTTGACAAAATGACATTCCAAAAAAATTTTTCGATTTTTAATTATTTTTTGCATTTTCTTCACTCATTTTTTTGTATTTTCATTGAATATTTTAATTTTATAAATAAAATATTTTTCAAGAACATTTTTCTGACCCAATAAAAATAATTTACCCTGCATGGGACTCGAACCATGAACCCCCTGAACATAAAAACCAAACACTTTCCCACTACACCAAAGAAAAATTTGATTTTAATATTCGAAATTAATTTTTAAAAAATATTTACTTTAATAAAACCCAAAAAATAATAATAATTTCAACCAACTTTTTTAATTAAAAATAATAAAAGAAAAAGCAAAATTATAGGGACGACAACCTCATTTTCCCTCTCTTCTCCAACTTTATTTCTTCCCAAATTTTCCTCATTTATTTTTGCTGTCCTTGAAAGTAACTTGCCCATTGAGGATTTTGTTGACATTGCTGGAAAAAATTTTTTTCAAAAAAAATCTTTTCAAAAAAAAACCTGATAGTATTGCCAATATTGCTGCATCTGTGCAGAATTAACCGCAGCGACAGTTGAAGGATTAACTCCTGCAGTCGCTGGATTGAAAATGCCTGGGACTTCTACAAATTTTAAATTTTATTGTAGTAAAACATATTTTAAAAACGAAAAGCAAACCTTTTGGAGCAGCTCCCTAAAATTAAAAAAAATATTAAAAATAAAAAATTTTGGTTAAGTGGTTAATGTCTAGACCCATAATGGGAGCAGGACGCGAGTTTGAACCCGCTGAGAGCAAAACATTTTTATTTTCTGCCAAAAAAGCAATAAAAACTCTCCTTTAGCTCAATAAATATTCAAAACCCCAAAATTATTTTTTAAATCAAAAAACAAACCTCAACTTTCCCCCAATTCATACGAACAGTTTGCCCCAAAAATTCTCCATTATTCATTTCAGCAATAGCTTTACCGGCAGCAATTTTTGTATCAAATTTAACCTTTAAAATGAATTTTAAAAAATATATTTAAAAAATAAATACAAAAGCATATCCTTGCGGTTTAAAATGGCGAATGTCGACAATATTGCCAAAACGTTTGAAGGCGTCGCGAATCTCGGTTTCTGAAAATGGAAAAAAATTTTTTTTCAAAAGAATGTTATAAATCAAAGTTCTAAAAGTATATAAATTGTAAACATTGTAGAAAAATATGATTAGTCCCAAGAGGGGTCGAACCATGGTCCATATATACAAAACTAACCCACTTAACCAAAAGCGATATTTTTCGTAAAATGACAGATAAGTCAATCGCTCAAAACACAAAAAGGAAATACTACTAAAATAATTTTAAGGAACAAAACGACCAAAAATAACAGCAAAATAAAAACCTGTAGCTCCTGGAGGCACACCCCCAATATAAACCGAAGTATTGTCCGGGCTTGTTTGAGCCATAATTTCGTCAACGGTTGGCTTATTGTATTCAAAAGGAACACCGCCAGGCATGCCTGGCATTCCAGGTTTACGAGTTGCCTTTTAAAGAAATTTTTTAAAAATTTAAGTAATTATTCAAAACCCAATTAGTCCGAATTGTTCTCCGCCCAAGCCATTGCCCATTCATCTGCTCAATAGCACGTTCAGCCTCATCACGTTTTGGAAACGAACAAAAGCCATAGCCTTTAGACATAAGAGTTGCCGGATCACGAATAACCTTTGCATCACTAAAAATATTAAAAAAGGTAGAAGTTATGGGGGGTCGTGGGTTCGACCCTGCTCGAGTCCCGAATTTTTTAAATAAAACAAAAGTTCACAAAAACTCACGAAACTTCCCCAAACGGCGCAAAAGCATCTTTCAAAGCTTTATTATCAATTTCCGGCGAAAGATCGCCAACAAAAATGTGAAAATGTTCTAAAAATGAAGGGCATTAAATTTAAAAATTAAAATTTAAAAATTAACTGCTCGTGTCCACTTTTTGTTGAGTGCCAGGTTGAATAGCCCAATTAACCTTCATTTCCTAAAAATAGTTTTTAATTTAGAACTCCCAACTATTTAAAAAATTGACTTTAAAAGTTTATAGGGAGGTGTGGGTTCGAACCTGCTCTGGGTAAATTATTTTATTTCTGTTGGGAAAATGAATTCAAAAAATAAATTTGACTCTTCTCCAGTCATCCGACCCCAAAACTGTCTAAAAACAAAACTTAACTTACAAAAAAGCTATTCTGATTTTATTGAGTAGGGGGTCCCAGGTTCGAACCCGCTCAGGGCCCGGAATTTTTTATATAAGAAAAATGACCCCAAAAAGCAATTTAGCCCCAAATCCATCAAAAAACAAACCTTATCCAACAACATACGCTTATTCATAGCCTGCAAAGCCTGAGCGGCTGTAGTATGATCAGTAAACTCCACAAAAGCATAGGGATCCGAAGTTGTCTTTAAACGATAAAAAATTAAATTTAAAAATTTAACGAATTCCCCCAGGGCAACACACTCATTTTTATCAAAATTTCCTTAGATTACTTAACGGGGATTTAATAATAAGAAAAGAATAAAGAAAAAAAAAGAAAAAAAATAAATTTTCAAATGGTACTTAGAGTTCTTTTTTGATTTTCTCAGGTGCCTTGGAGAGCCTTGGAGAGCAGTCTCTGCCTTGGAGCAGTTCCTGGATTTTATCAATGAATATTTTTCAAATATAATTTAATAAAAGAAAAGAATAAGAGAAAAAAATAAAATTAAAAAAAAATTTTTTTTCGACCTCACCAAGCCGAAGGAATTAATTTAAAAGTAAAAAAAGAAAAGAAAATAAGCAAAAAAATAAACTTAGAAAACCCTGCACTAAAATGTAGAGATTTTATTTTGATCCTTCCAAAGCCTTGCCAACCAACTTACATCAAATATAACTTTTGTTTTGGTAACAGGGCCAATTTGTCCGAACAACGTGGCGATGAACTCTTCTGTCACAGAAAGATCGAGATTGCCAACATATCTGAAAAATCGGGAGAAAATTAATTTTTGGAGACGTAAGGCGTGCAAAGAGGGTCTCAATCACCTCACAACGCTCAGGTCAAGTGAAGTAATTCCGCGGTAATACCGAGGTTACTCGCGGTCACTACCTCTGCTTACTCATCTTAAACACGCCTAATGTTTTCCTAACTGCACCCAACATTCCTGCTATACTAACAAGGTTGCGAGGTGTCCGACCTAAAAATGGTCGAACTGGGCTCAATCGATAGAGAATGCTCAAAATCCTTGCTAGAAAGGGCACATTCTCTATCGAATGAGCCCAGTCTCGACCGTTCTTAGGTCGGACACCTAACAACCTTTCCTTGTAAGGATGAACGGGTTACCCAAAACCATAAACATATTTCGAAATCTGATCTAGAGGAAGGCGAGGAAGAAGAAAATATGATTTTGGGGAAGGAAAAAAGGGAGAGGGACCAGGATCGGAATACCAAACTTTGAAAGCCCTATCAGAATCACATGCAGACTTTTCCCCCAAACACGCCTTGGTTTCCTGACCGGACTACTCTTATATACCCTAACCCTAAACCCAATACTACTCAAAGCCTGAGCAAGCTTCTTTCCCAATCCCGTCCCATCCCCGTTCTCTACACACAATCCAAAGTCGTTAAATAAACAAACATAGTCTTTGGAAGTCCATCATCAGTCCTCAAATCGAATCCTGCACTTTGTGCCGCTGCATAGTGGTAACGAGGATTGTAAGCGCCTACAGAGTAATCTTCCCCATAGCCGTAAGTTCCATAACCATATGTGGTGTACTTTAAAAATAAATTTCAATTACAAATCAACTTAAGGCACTCCTGCAGTTTGGGGGGAGGGGGCCTCTTACCCTAATAAGACTAATGTGAATTTTTTGATTTTTCTATGACGGGAGTCACCAGATTTTGATTAGCTTACACTAGTGACTGGGGCTGGACTGGATCCAGACGAATTTTCCCGAGTCTGGGTCACAAATCCGAGGGTTTTCGCAATCCCCGGACTAAAACCAGACCGGATTATCCGGAGAAATCCGGCCGGATCCGGACCGGCTCACGTTGCAAATCCGAAGCCAGGTCCGGAAAAATCGATTTTACCAGCCACTAGCTTCAGCAATAAGGACCTAGCTCAACTAGGACCTATGTCAAAAAATCTGGTTCCCAAAGATATAAAGGTAAGAAAGCTGCCCCCCCCCCCTCCCCAAACGGCAGGAGTGCTCCCAATTTACTAAAAATACCATTGTTTCTAATTAAAGAGCAAAATATCCTCTACTAATTATAAAAAAATTTAAATAAATAAAGAATAAAATCTAAAATAGAAATAAGCTAAAAAATCTTTAAAAAGAAAGAAAATCAATGCCACGCAATCATTAACGAGAAAAGAAAATTTTTCTCTGCAAACACACTCTCTTTTATACAAAATGCAAAAAATCGATTTGATGGTAAACGCGACAATTCGAAAACGCGATATTTGGACAAATGACAATTGGTCAATTACGATTATAAGACAATTAGGCAGCGGTACAATTGGACAGGAATACAGGGTGCACCATAAGTAATTGGACACTTTTAAATTCCTTATAACTTTTTTTGTTGTCAATATTTTTAATCGATTTTATGCTTATTTTTTAGCTCATTCAATTCTCTATTATGGCTAATCAACGTGATTCTATAATTTCACTTTTTTTGAAAAAAAATTCAGTCCGCAAAATTTCACCTCTTTTGAATGTCCCAAAGAGCACTGTACAATACACTTTCAAAAAATTCTGGTGAAAATTTTTTGGGAGAAAATTTTTTTGAAATTAATTTAGTAATGATGGCACAACTAAGAACTTACAAAAAAGTGGAAGACCGAGTACCGTCAGCACTTCCAAGAATATTAAAATGATCAAAAACTAGGTGCATCGCAATTCTCGACCCTCCATGAGAAAAGTGGCTCGTGAAACCGGAATAAGTGAGAGGACCGTCAGACGAATAGCTAAAAATAAACTAGGGTTAATACCCTACAAAATCCAAAAAGCACAACTGCTAACAGAAAAAACAAAAAAAGTTAGGCTTGCAGGATGCAAACTGCTCCTTCAGTGGCACGCATGTCCGGACATTCCCTTCTCAGACGAAAAAATTTTTACAATAAAAATCGTACACAACCATCAAAATTATAGAATCTGGACTACAGAATCTCCTCTTTCCGATGAGCTTATCACTCATTTCCAACATCCCCAATCTGTCATGGTTTAGGCCGGTATTTGCGCGTCAGTCAAAAAACCCCTTATTTTCGTGGATTTTGGTGTAAAAGTCAACAAAGACTATTACTTGCGAGAATTTTTTCAGCGTGTTCTGAAGCCTCGGTTCAAGAGCCATTTCGGTCGCAGAGTCTGGATTTTCCAACAGGACTCTGCTCCGGCACACAAAGCGAAAGAAGTTAAGGACTGGTGCTAGGCCAATTTTCCTGGGTTCATTAGCGCTCAGGAATAGCCGCCATACTCCCCGGATTTGAATTCGATGGATTATTCTTTTTGGTACATTTTGGAGTCCAGGGTCTGTGCTAAGCCTCAAAAAAGTTTGGAGTCTCTGAGCCATTCTCTCACCCGGGAGTGGGACTTAATTACACTCAAGGAGGTGCGTGCTATTTGCGAAAATTTTTCTTCGCGCCTTCGCCTCTGTATCAAAGCCAAGGGTGGGCATTTCGAAACTTCTTGATTATTATTGTTCCATATTTAATTCTCTATCATTTGATTGTATTTCGATTTTATTTGATTGTGTTTTAATAAAGTTATGAGAGAAAACATGTGTCCAATTACTTATGGTGCACCCTGTAATTAGATACTAGACAAAAAGTTAATTGGAAAATAAAAAAATAGGACACAAGACCACAAGACAATTGGACAGGAACCAATTGGACAGTAGGACATTTTACAGCGGTGAAAATTGCGTCTCGTATATTTTTCGTAGAAATGAATGTTCGCTCCCATCCACCGAATAACCTTTTGCAACAGGGGTGGGCGCATTGCGTTTTGCGTCGATTTTTGGCCTTGCGTTGCGTTTTGCGTAAATTTGACCAAAATTAACGCCATGAAGCTTTGAAGTGTATAAGTGCCAAATAATTTTCGATATACATCATCTTTGGATCACTACTTTTGAATAACTTATTGTAAACAAGAAGGCAGCAGGATTCTGATACAGTTTTTTATGCTCATTCGAATGAGCTATATATCAGCCAAATGTGATGCGAATTCGTGATGCCATGAAGCTTTGAAGTGTATAAGTGCCAAATAATTTTCGATATACATCATCTTTGGATCACTACTTTTGAATAACTTATTGTAAACAAGAAGGCAGCAGGATTCTGATACAGTTTTTTATGCTCATTCGAATGAGCTATATATCAGCCAAATGTGATGCGAATTCGTGATGCCATGAAGCTTTGAAGTGTATAAGTGCCAAATAATTTTCGATATACATCATCTTTGGATCACTACTTTTGAATAACTTATTGTAAACAAGAAGGCAGCAGGATTCTGATACAGTTTTTTATGCTCATTCGAATGAGCTATATATCAGCCAAATGTGATGCGAATTCGTGATGCCATGAAGCTTTGAAGTGTATAAGTGCCAAATAATTTTCGATATACATCATCTTTGGATCACTACTTTTGAATAACTTATTGTAAACAAGAAGGCAGCAGGATTCTGATACAGTTTTTTATGCTCATTCGAATGAGCTATATATCAGCCAAATGGGCTCCCATACAAAATACCGAATTCTTAAAATATGGAATCTCAAAATCGCGAATCTCAAAATATGGAATAGGCAAAAAAAGCTCAAAATATCGAAAAATATCGACAATGCGGCAAAGGCCAGTTGAGTCTGAACAAAGTTGTGACCAACTTCTTCGTAAAAAAATTTTAAAAATAAGAGAAAGTATTTTTCTAAGGTAAAAAAATGTGCTGATTACGAATCTCAGCTCGGATTTTGAAAAAGTCGAATCCCGGACCCGAACCGAATTTCGAATCCCGAACCGAATTTCGAGTTTCCGAATGATAGCTCATCTGAAAGAGCACGTCGAGCTGCATCGAATGATACCAAAATCAATGAAATCCGACCTGATTGGACTGAGTTACAGATCCCTGAATAATCAGAAAAAGACCTGCAGCGGCACTCAAACGGCCCTTTTCGTTTTTAAAAAATTCGACATTTTTAACTACTTTTTAGCCGATTCGGTATTTTGAGCTTTTTTGGCCGATTCGCGATTTTGAGATTCGATATTTTAAGATTCCATATTTTGAGCTTTTTTGGCCGATTCCATATTTTGAGATATTTTTACCGATTCGCGATTTTGAGCTTTTTTAGCCTATTCGCGATTTTGAGAATTCGGTATTTTGTGCGGGCACGGCCAAATGTGATGCGAATTCGTGATGCCATGAAGCTTTGAAGTGTATAAGTGCCAAATAATTTTCGATATACATCATCTTTGGATCACTACTTTTGAATAACTTATTGTAAACAAGAAGGCAGCAGGATTCTGATACAGTTTTTTATGCTCATTCGAATGAGCTATATATCAGCCAAATGTGATGCGAATTCGTGATGCCATGAAGCTTTGAAGTGTATAAGTGCCAAATAATTTTCGATATACATCATCTTTGGATCACTACTTTTGAATAACTTATTGTAAACAAGAAGGCAGCAGGATTCTGATACAGTTTTTTATGCTCATTCGAATGAGCTATATATCAGCCAAATGTGATGCGAATTCGTGATGCTATGAAGCTTTGAAGTGTATAAGTGCCAAATAATTTTCGATATACATCATCTTTGGATCACTACTTTTGAATAACTTATTGTAAACAAGAAGGCAGCAGGATTCTGATACAGTTTTTTATGCTCATTCGAATGAGCTATATATCAGCCAAATGTGATGCGAATTCGTGATGCTATGAAGCTTTGAAGTGTATAAGTGCCAAATAATTTTCGATATACATCATCTTTGGATCACTACTTTTGAATAACTTATTGTAAACAAGAAGGCAGCAGGATTCTGATACAGTTTTTTATGCTCATTCGAATGAGCTATATATCAGCCAAATGTGATGCGAATTCGTGATGCCATGAAGCTTTGAAGTGTATAAGTGCCAAATAATTTTCGATATACATCATCTTTGGATCACTACTTTTGAATAACTTATTGTAAACAAGAAGGCAGCAGGATTCTGATACAGTTTTTTATGCTCATTCGAATGAGCTATATATCAGCCAAATGTGATGCAAATTCGTGATGCCATGAAGCTTTGAAGTGTATAAGTGATAAATAATTTTCGATATACATCATCTTTGGATCACTACTTTTGAATAACTTATTGTAAACAAGAAGGCAGCAGGATTCTGATACAGTTTTTTATGCTCATTCGAATGAGCTATATATCAGCCAAATGTGATGCGAATTCGTGATGCCATGAAGCTTTGAAGTGTATAAGTGCCAAATAATTTTCGATATACATCATCTTTGGATCACTACTTTTGAATAACTTATTGTAAACAAGAAGGCAGCAGGATTCTGATAGTTTTTTATGCTCATTCGAATGAGCTATATATCAGCCAAATGTGATGCGAATTCGTGATGCCATGAAGCTTTGAAGTGTATAAGTGCCAAATAATTTTCGATATACATCATCTTTGGATCACTACTTTTGAATAACTTATTGTAAACAAGAAGGCAGCAGGATTCTGATACAGTTTTTTATGCTCATTCGAATGAGCTATATATCAGCCAAATGTGAT